TAATTATCTACATTTAAAATTTTAATACTTTAAATAACAAGAATAAAATGATTTGCCTTTGAACTAGTAATATTATTTAGATTTTCAGTATATACACTTTTTGAGAACATTGAGTATAAAGAGTAAACTTATGGCCTCTTTTTCTCTTACTCACCAACTAAACCTTTCACATATATTTATTGATGCTGGTGTTTTCTTCCAAGACGATGTGAAGACAAGTTTCTTCATCCTTTGTCAAATTCGATCCGTTTCAAATAAATAATAAAATAAAATTTGAAAATGGCAAAAATCAAGGTTATGTATTTTTGTGTTATTTTTTTTACACCATTGCTGGTTTTTCACATGGTCCAAGTAACATCTAAATTAGAAAAGTTTATTTGAGCAGCGGTCGCCCTACGGCAGACAACAGCAAATCTCCGACTGTCCTGCCTTGAAAAATCTTCTCATAAAATCCCTTAGCCATTCGGAGGCGGCGTGAAATTGTAGGCCCCTGTAGGAGAGGCTCAGCCGAACATTTAGCAAAAGTTTAAGCGCCAAAATTTTATTATTATTTTTGATTTTCATAGTCAAACCACCTGGGGAATTAGACTATCTCAGAAATTTACCATCGATGGGTTAAAGATCAGGATGCCGACGCAAAGACATCTACTATAATCTTACTAAAATGTTTAAAGTGAATATCACCTAGATTTTATTATCAGTCCATAAATGTATTTATGTAATTTATTACACAGTAAAAATTATATTTGAGCAGATTTTATATTATCTTACTCAAATTAGTGAAAGCAAAGAAACTAAATCTTTAGACTAACGTTCTTTGGTGTAAGGAGAAAATGTGTTTGAGTGGCAACACTGTCTTCGGCATAACAGTTTAAAGCTATATAAAAGGTCTTGCAACTTTATTCATAATTTTCATAGGCATGCAAATATAAGCAAGCGTTTATGATTCGCCACTATCTACCCCAAAAAGGAAACAAAAATTGTGCAGACATCTAATTAGTTAAAAATCTACTCAATCTGCATATACAAGCCAATTAA